TTTTTTTTTGCGTGTCACGTGCGTTATTAATCTATTATTATTATCATCATTATTATCATTTCGTTTTTTTTTTATTTTAAAGAGTGAAAAAGAAAAAATTTTCTTTTTTCGGTCGTAAAAAAAAAAAAAAAAAAAAAAAAAAAATTCATCGTCATTATCCCGTATTGAATTACTAATTTAACCGCCTCCCGTGGCGGTTCGAACCGCCGATTATGCAATATTTTCAACTTTTTTTTTTTTTGTTTTCGCGTATGGATTTTTTTTTTAGATTGCGTAAAAAAAAAAAAAAAAAAATTCCACAGTTTTTTCTCACTCTCCAAAGTCACAGAGTAATAAAATTTTTTTTTTTTTTGTTCGTTCGTTAAATTTAAAACGAGGATAAATATCACCGCATTATCATCATCATCATACTCTATGACTTTTCCCCCCCCCCTCCCCCATTTTTTTTCATTTTTCCAGTAATAAGTTGAAAAAACCAGAAACATTTTTCATTTTTTTTGTTCTCTTTTGTTTTTATTATTTTTTCTATATTATTGTTTATCAACAACAACAACAACAACAAACAAAAAACAATTTCCAAACGATTGATAATATTGATTACAAAAAAAAAAAAAAAAAAAAAAAAAAAGGAGAAAAATAATACGCAACCAAAATGTGAAACTTTATAAATTTTACACACTCACAAATGTTATATTTATATAAATTCATTATTGTTTGTTGTTTGTTGTTGTTGTTGTTTTATAAGAAATTTGATAATATAAATAAATAAAAAGAAAAATATAATAAACAAACACATGCTACAATTCATAACTTAAAAAAAAAAATCAAAAATACTTTTTTTTTGTTTCGTTTCTTAAACTTAAACGGAAATTAAGAAACGTGGAAGAAGAACGAAAAATTTTCTTATCGATAATAATAATAATAATTTTTTCTTTTTTTTTCGATTTAGATTAAGAAGGTGAACACAAATAGAAAAAAAATATTCAAATGAATCAAGAAAAATAATAATGATAAATTTATGAGGAAGATTTAATAAAGACATGGATGTCATCGCCGTGGGAGCAACCATTGCCGGATTTTTATCTTATTATAATACACTGGATGCTGGATTCGTATACGACGACAGGTGAGAGAGTCATACCCAAACAACACACGCACACACACACACCACATATTAATCGTTTGTTTGTTTCGTTTGCTTCCTTTCAGACGAGCCATTTTAAACAATCAAGATGTACTACCGACAACTTCTTTCTCGAGTATTTGGTACAACGATTTTTGGGGCACGCCCATCGCGAGTAGTAATTCTCACGGTTCTTACAGGCCTCTATGCGTTCTCACATTTCGTTTGAATTACATACTGGGGGGAGGTTTCAGACCCTACGGTTTTCACCTCGTCAACGTTTTACTACATTCTCTCTGTACTTATTTGGTCGTTAAATTAGCACGGAAATTTTTCAACAAAAATTTCCCCGTTTTCGTGTGCGGTTTTTTATTTTCCCTTCATCCGATACACACGGAAGCGGTTGCGGGTATTGTCGGGAGAGCCGACATCGCATCTTGCATTTTTTACATAATATCATTTTTAAGTTACATAAAACACGTGAGATTTCGCGTAATGTTAACGAATTACAAACACGCAAATACGAATTGTAAATTGAATTTAATTTATTTAAAAAATTATTACGATAAATCAAAGAGTGGTGGTTATTTGTGGTTTCAATGTACCGCTTGGCTCATACTATGCCTGATATCAAGTGCCTGTGCCATGCTTAGCAAGGAATCCGGTTTAACCGTTTTGGTCGTTTGCGGAATATACGACGTCGTCACGAATTGCAGGAGCGTCAAACATTTTTTCACAAAGGTAAGAAGTCAATCGTTTAATAATAATAATAATAATTTTTTTTCTATACGACCGAATGGTTGTTTAACGATTCAACAACAACAAACGCAATAAAAAAAATTTTTTTTTTTTTTTTTTACGAAAAGATTAAAGGATAATAATATTTTTTACCGCAAAACCGGTTTTTTTTTTTTGTTATTAAAAATTTTAATAATTTTTTTTTTTCATATGCACATTTTGAAAAACAATTCCATTCGTTTGTTCGTTTGTTTGTTTGTTTGTTTCACACAAAAACCAAAACATAAATTTTTAATAAAAAAAAAAGAAAAATGGACGAAGTACAAAAAAAAAAAAAAAATTTCATTTCCCCAACGACGACGAAAAAAAAAAAAAAAAAACAACTTAATAACGTATAATAATGATGATGATGATAATCGTATTCTTTTTTTTTCCCGTTAATTCCACGGTACGCGTATTACCTTAAATAATTAATAATAATAATAATAATTTAAAAACGTTTAATATCTTTTTTTTTTTTTTTTTTGTAACTTTTTAATAAATAATATTTACGTCGGCGTACTTTTTTTTAAAATGAGATTAAAAGAAAACCGCTTGGACTTTATTTAAATATTTTTTATACCTTTCCTTCCCCCCTCTCTCTCTTCCTTTCCCCCTCCCTATATCGTTCCCTTTTTTTTTATACTGAAAAAATTTCCCGGAGAGGAGAGAGAATGATGAAAGAAAGAAAAAAAGCAAAAAAAAAAAAAAAGTTTCGGTTGAATAACTACTACTTTTAATACCACTACCACCACCTTGGCGATAATAATAATAATAATTAAAATAAATTAATTATTTAATTAATGAAAATAAAATCAAAAGATGGAGGGAGGGGGGAATGTAAAAAAAAAATCTAATAATAATAATAATATCTTTTTAAAAAGAAATGAAAGTAAGGAAGAAAGAAAGAAAGAAAGATGATTATAATGAAATATTAGATTCATTTAGTTGGACTCGATGCGAAAAAGAAATGAAAACGGATGAAAGAGAAAGAGAAAGAGTAAATGAGAGAGAGAGAGAGAGAGAGAGAGATATGGATGGAAAAGATTCTTGTCAGGAAGCGGAAATAATATTCGAGTTAATAGAACGTAAATGTTTTATAATCTAGGCAGGCACCGTCCTCGTCGTTAATTTAATTTAAACGTTTGACGTAGAGAAAAAAATTTTTTTTTTTTTTTTTCTAAATGAAATTTCATCCATTTTAATTTTTTTTTTTTAAAAAAAAATTTTTTGTGTTTAGGCTCGTTTTTACGTCATCATTTTGCAAAAATAAAAACAAAATTTTTGGAGAGGGGGGAGAGAAAAACAAAAACGAAAAATGCCGAAAAAATCCGAATTTTTCTTTTTTTCGTTAAAATTTTTTCTTTTACTTTAAAATTTATTAATAATATTATTATTAAAATATTTTATTTATTTATTTATTTATTTTTTCGCGAATACGTGGAAATAGAAACCGTTAAAAAAAAAGGCGTTAATGAATAAAAAAAAAAGTTTTTTAATTATTATTAACAATAAAATAATTCCCACGAGAACGAAAAAAAAAAAAACTTTTTTATTTTATTTATTTATTTATTCATTATTATTATTAATATTAATATTCATTAAAATAAATGATGACGATGATGATAAGTATTACGTAACATTATTTGACGCGATGATAAATAAATAATAATAATAATAATAATAGATAATAGATAATTCATTAATTTTTATCGATTTATATATATTTTGGAAATTTTCCAGACGCAAAAAAAATTTTTTTATTTTTTTTTTATTTTCTGTATATTCATACACTTCCTACTCTTTCCTTTTCGAATTAATTAATTAATAATTAAATATAAATTTTTTAGTTTATCGAAACGAATTAATTGCTCTGCAACCCCCCCTCTCCCCCCACCTCAAAAAAAAAAGAAATTTTTACTTTCGTCATTCGATTGCGTAACAACTAAAAAAATTTTTTTTTTTTTTCTTTTTTCTTTTTTTTTTTTTTTCTCCAGTGACATTTTCCAGTAATTTTTTTTTTCTTCTTTTTTCCTTTATAAACTCAGCAATTTTTTTTTTCTTTTTTTTTTTTCGTCTTGCGGAAGCAGAAGACACGCCTTTCAACCAAAATCCAAGGTAAATTTATTACCGTAAATTAGTGTCAGTTTTACAGTATTAATTACCGAGTAAATAATTTTTAACTCTAAGCGAAAAAAATAAAATTATCATCATCATCGCCATTATCATTATTATCATTATCGCGATCGATATTCTCGTAATTATTAATTATTTAATAATAATAATAATAATAATAATAATAATAAGTAATCGTCGATTAATAATAAATCAATAACCAATCATATTTAACAAAAAAAAAAAAGGAAAAAAGAAAAAAAAAGGAAAAAAGGGAAAAAATTTAAAATGATTAATTAATTAATTAGTAATTTTTTTTTTATCGAGGAGTGAAAAATTTTTTAAATAAAATCAAAGGAAAAAAAAGGAGGTAAAAAAAAGGAAGAAAGAAAAAGGAAGAGAAAAAAACGTTTCGAGTTTCCTTTTTTATTTTTTAACGTGTAAATTTTTTTTAGAAAAAAAAGTGTCATTAATAATATTTTTTTTTTTTAAACATAAAATTTTAATATAATCTTTATCGTTATCATTATTATTATTATTATCGTTATCAAAACAAAAGAAGGAAAAGGAAATACTACGACCTTTTATCTTATTTTCCCTTTTTTTCCTTTTTCCATTTTTCTTTTCTTTTTTTTTTTTTTTTTAATATTTTAAATTTAAGGATTTTTATGCGTCAGGTGGTGTGCGGCGTCAGGTTATGGTTTATTAAAAGGAAAAATAAAAAAAATGAAGTGGAAGAAGAAAAGTAAAAAAAAAAAAAAAAAAAAAAAATCATTTGTAGTTTTAAATCCGAATAGGGAAGAATGTGTTAGGAAATGGGAGGTCGGAAACTTTACACGAAATTCATCTCCTTTCCCTTTTCCTCCCTTCATCTTTTTCCCACGATTTTTTTTTTTTTTGGAATCAGGTGGCAGTTAAATAAAAAGATTTTGCTACATGTAAGATTTTGCGGTGTAAAAGGTCTTATTGTATGTCACATTGAGCTCGGAATATATATAAAAAAGTAAAAACTTGATTGACTTGTCTTCTGCTCTTTTTCTTCTGCTTTTTTTTTCAATCTACAATTTTTTTTTTTTTTTTTACTTTTTGCTCTTTTCTTTTGATGTGAAATTGACATTTCGACATTCGAACTATTGACGTCATTTATTTTCATTTTATCCTTTTAATAAAATTTTCGGTTTTCTTTTATATATATTTTCACTCCCACTACCCCCCGCCGCCATTTTAATATTTCCGAGTGTAAAAAAAAAAAAAATTTGAAAAAAGATTTCGGATAAATTATTTTTTTCCTCGAGGTGTTTTTTATAATAATAATAATAATAATAATAATAATAATAATAATAATAATAATAATAATAAAAGAAAAGAAAACATGTCGAATAATAAATCAGAAATTTCAGATGCGTCAGATTGTGGCGTAATCCGAGACGAGGTAGTACGCGGGGGTCCGGACCAAAGTTTTGGCATTTTCCAACTAAATTGCTTTTGAAATTGAAACCGGAAAAACGGTTTTCCTTGAGTTATTATCTTACAAAAACGTCAAGTGGTCATGACTAAAATTTTCTTTTCTCCTTTTCTCCTTTTTTTTTTTCTTTAAAATCCTTTTACACACACACACACAAAAACACAAGACGAGGTCAACATTTTATTTTTATTTAAATAATAATTTATATTTATATATTTATACGCACACGAACGAACGAACGAACAAACGAACGAAAAAAAAACAAAAAGAAGAAAAAAAAAAAGAAACAAATTTATCGTTTTCGTCTCGTTGCTTGCGATTGTGGCGCCCCCTGTTTCCGGTTTATCAAATTTATTTATTTTTATTTATTTATTTTTTTTCACTTTGTTTTTTTTTTTTTAATTTTCGGTATAATTAATAATAATAATAATAATAATAATAATAATAATAATAATAATAATAATAATAATAATAATAATAATAATTTTTAAAATGATTATTTGAAAGAATGAGAAAAAAGAAAAAGTTAAAAAAAATTCAACCTCCAAATTTTTTTTAATAATAATAATTTTTTATAACACGTCGATAATTTAGGATAAGAAAAAGAAAAAGTGGAAGAAGAAGAAGTGGAAGCAGAAGAAAAAGAAAAAGAAAGAAAAAAAAATTAGTTTCATAGCCATAATTCAGTCAACTGGAACTGAATGGAACGATTAAAACTAAAAAAAAAAAAAAAAAAAAAATTTATTTGGCACTCTTGGTAATGCGTTCTCTGATTACTTTTGCTAATTAATGAGTAGTTAAAAGTTTTCCCCATATTTCTTTACTTTTTCTTTCTTTTTCTTTTTCTTCCCCTTCCACCGCTTCCCTTCCCCACCTTTTCCATTCGAGAAATAAATGAAAAAAAGATGAGAAAGGATAAAAGATAAAGTATTAAAAAAAGAAAATGAGTGAAAATAAAAAAAAGAGTAAAAGTGAGAAAAAGAAAAATAGAAAGAGAGAGAAAAAAGAGACGATGGATATGGGGGGTGTGCGTGCTTGTTGGAGAGGAGGAGGCGAGAGAGAGAGGGGGGGGCAAATATAAAAAAAAAGGTTCGAAACTTTTTTTTTTTTTTCTTTAAAAATAATTTTAATGCGAATGTTTTACTTAAAATAGTTTCTTTTTTTTCCTCGTTTGTATTTGATTTAAATATTCATTTTCAAATTATGATTTAAAAAAAAGAAAAGTTTTTATTATTTTTAATTATCATCATCATCATCATCATTATCATCATTTCACCCGTTTACTTTAATAATTTTTAATAACGAAATTAAATAATAATAATAATAATAAAGAATGAACGAACGAAAAGGAAAAAAAGAAAAAAAATTAAATTACTTGAAACGAATAAAAAAATTTCAACTCGGTCAAATTGAAGAATCATTTAAAAAACTTTTTTTTTTTCTTAGGTTGGTTCTACTTCATCACTTTTTATTATTTTTTTTTCTACACGTAATTGGTTGAAAAAAAAAAAAAGAAAAGAA